GCATGACTCTTTCCTCTGTTCTGGGACTCTGTGTTCTTACAGAGTAAAAATTAATTAAAAGAAAGAAAACATTAAAAAAACCAAGTGATGTGCACGCAATCAACTTCTGGCACTTGCCATAATAAAATTTTGGAAGACAGTCACTTGAAGAGATGTTGTACCATGCTACATTAAACATCTTCCCACACAAAAGAATATGCTGTCTTTAATAAAAAGCTAAGGATCTGTTATAAACAATTTAAAGCAGAAACATACTTTTGGCAGCTGGCTTCCAGCAGAGAAGTCACTAAAAATAGCCAGGGGCAGATTTCCCTTGATCGGGGGAATACAATAGTGTCTGCATCCATAGTAATATAGTGCCATCTAGAGGTCGTTGTGCTTTAAAAAAAGAAAGCTAGGGAGCCTGATTCTGATTGTATGAAAATTGAATCCAATTTGAAGACATTCTCATGATATAAAAAATTATACTGCTGCAAAACCAAAATATATGCATCAGAATCAGTTCCAAAATATTTTTAGTGGATTAGTTTTTCCACCTGGATTAGATCAATGTGAATCAGCAAGCTTCTCCCTCTATGCATCACTAGCTAGTATATCCCATTATGTCTCTATCCTACCCACATTCACTGGGTTCTGTTCTTCCTGCAGCATGTCATATGAAGAATAGGTCACAAAAAGGAACCCATAAAGAAGTGTTACATTTAAGTGACTTCTCCAAATTGCAGTGCAAAGCCATATATGCTGAAACACTGGAGCCCCATTTGTACTGAAAATTACAGGAGGCACCCAGAGCTGGAAATAATTTTCCACATATGTTGATGTGATAGTATCCACATTCAGAGGCTGAAATATAAGCTACAGCTTTGCAGAGTGCATTAGCCCTGTGCCTTTTAGGGCTGTGAACAGTTTACTGAAGAATGTTGTCAGGGCTAGGGCCAACGGTAAGCTGCTTTCACCTCAAATGTACATATGACAGAACTAATCCTTGTCCCGGCCTGCTTCTTGTCCTTTCCCCTCTGCTTGTGGAAATATTGATATATTTTTTACAAGTAGTTAATAAATTATCCCAGATGTGCATTCAAAGCTCTGTGCAACTTGAAACTTTGTTCTTTCCCTGGCACAGTCGTAGATGTGTTCCTTGTTCAAAGAGGTTGATCTCAGAACTCACTGTGCCGAAGTAGAGGTTATAAAATGTACAAAGGAAAAAAGCCCCCAGTAGGCAGTTAAATTAATGTTTCAAATTGCTGAGAAAAAACCATAATTGAAGGAAGTCACCGAAGAGTTCCAAGATCTTGTTTTGTCCAAGAAAGAATTGTCTTAACTTTTATGCCTGCACTTTTATAGAGACACCATTTGTATCTTTGGTATGTATAGAGTCCAGAATACTACTGGGCTAGGCTAAGTATTGTACAAACCCATTATGAGAGATGGGCCCTGATCTAAATAACTTGTAATATTCATAGACTAGAGAGGCAATGGGTGGAAGAAGAAACAAAGTTTATGGGAGATGAAGTGTCTTGTCCAAGGCCATAGTGCATTTCAGTGGAGAGCCAGGAATCAACCCCAGCTCAACTGACCCCAGGTTCAGTGCACTGTTAGGTACTTAGATATTTACCTATCATCCCAGTAACTCAAACGTCTTTCAATCACCAATGTATTTATTCTCACAGCTACAGTTTACAGAGAGAGTCTCAGACTCTGCTTGTGGTGGAACAGATATCTTACTTGGGTTTTCCTATGATCCCGGCACCCATTTCTTGCTTTCAGTTCATGCTGCCTCCTATGTAGATACATAGTGATGTAGGTTCAACAGCTATCATACATTCTAGTGGGCAACTATGTTTTAAGTGTGATGAATATGAAATTCTGATACTGGTGGATCTTTCCCATCTTTAAGTGTCAGGATTAGACACATATTCTTAAATGGTATTCATACAGCTGAGTTTTCTAACTGATTCCTACACTGAATATTTGTATTCCTCAGTGCAATCCTCAGATCTATGGTTTCCCTTATACATTGTGCAACTATTAGAATATTTATAGTTGCAATAGTTCCCACAGCCCCACAGACAAGTCAGGGCAGCATATGCCTGCACTTGGGTGGATGGGGAGTGCTCTGTGCCATCCTCCCTGGATCTGGCTGCTGCAGCAGTATAAGCAAGCCCTGTGTGCATCCAGGGTCACCAGTTATCTATAGCAACTAATCCAATCGGATTTTGTTGTTGTTGTTTTCTGATCTAAGTCCTGCAGAGGCTAGCACATCTTTTCCATCTTGTGTAGTAGCACCTGAGACACCAATCAGAGTTTTGCAAACCCACTGAAGACAAAGGAGAATGGGTGAAGGAACTGAGTTTGCACAGATGTGAAAAATATCCTTGTGCATGTTTTACTCACCTTTGCTCACTTAAAGCTGACAGGAGTTTTGCCTGAAAAAGGGCTGAGTGATAGGTCTAGGATTTTCCCCATAGGACTGACGTAAATGTATTTGTTTTTAACCACCTATCAAAATAAAAGTTTCTGGTTTGTATATGAGATTTTGTAGTTTAGTCCTTTAATCCTTTGGTAGAGAGAGTGTTAGTCCACGCTACTAGATTGTCCACTTCCTCTTCCCACGGCTCTTTTTCCTGGGTGATGGGTCTCTCTCTACCTGTAGCTTGACTTTTTGGTATTGGATCTAGCATATCTGTGGTTTGAAAGAGAAAAAGGTTCATAAGTAGATAAAACAGCTACGTGGAAGCAAGTTTTCCAGAACAATTACGAGAACTTTTTCTTTTCCATTTTTAATTTGCAGAAATTTTTGGAAACTTATTTCTCAGGGCTATAAGGAGACTGTGTATATGTAGCAACATTTAAGTGATCAGATACAAAACCATGTGATACATTATATATACCATGCATCTTTGTACCACCTGCACTGGTTGCCCATCCAACTAAATTCAATTTGTCAAATGGAGCTGCTGCTCATCTTGCCGTGGGACTCAGGCTGTGGCTAGACAACATTCTGTTCTGGTTTGCTCTACTACCAATATTAAAACTTTCTGCCATTTGCTCTACTACCAATATTAAAAAATGTATGAGCAGGACTCCTGGCTGCTCTCTCATAGCTCTATAGCCATGCAGCATTAATGGCATTAATGTTTGTCCTTGTCAGGAAAGCAGCTATATATGCTTTTAAGACAAACAGGAAGCAGATTTGTTGAGAAAGGTAGTGCTATTTTAATTTTTTTCTACTTAATTTGCAGCTAGTTTGTGATAGAACATACTTTGGATACTACAATATTTCCAACCACTTCTGGTACAGATCAAGTTCTGCACACAAGCTCTTGGGAAAGATACTTACAACACATACAAAACATGGTGTTTAGACCTTTTTAATAGAGAAACAGTGATTACTCCTTTTTTGCACAGGTAAACATTTTGCTCTTAATTTAAAAATAAAACCATTTACTGTTGTATGACCCCTATTTCCTTCCCACATGTAGATTTGGTAAGAAATCTATTTAGTTTGTAAGGAAAAATGCACTTGTGAGATAAAAAGCACCGTGTAACCAGAATTCAGTACTCAGCTTTGTTGTTCCAATACACAGCTTCTATTATTGTTAACCCTCTAACCTGTCCCTCTCCTTACTGGGTATGAGGTCTCCAGGCGCAGTCATCTACATGAGATCTCACATGGAGACTTGTTCTATCTCTCTGGGGAACAGTAAGCAGCAGTCTGGGTGAGGCTTACTGATCTGCCGCAGCTACACAGAGCAGCAGATATGGATCAGCTCAGTTGCAGCATCTGGGAAGAATGCCCAGCCATGGCCTAGGCAGTGATAGTGGAATTTCTCTCTTAAGAGAGCCCAACTTGAGTTTCGTTTCTCTTCAAGTTTTACATTCAGGATAAGAAAAGCTGTAATTTTAAAATCTGTAATAATATTTTTCTAGACAATGAGTCACTCAAAACCAAAACAAACCTAGTAAGATATTATTTTTGCCTACCACCTGTCTAGCTCACAAGGGTGTGTTGTGTGGGCATAGGTGTTAGTCTGCAAAACAGTGTGGAGGGTCACCGCAGAAGACATTAGAAACATCATCCTGAACATGACTACATGGAAATCTCAAAAACTCTGGTAAGCCTTTAAATGTGCTCCCATGCAGGGGTGAATATCTGAAACCAAGATGTTGCAACTGCGCTTCAGCCCTCCTTGAACGTATTGTCAAGAGGCTGCACCTGTATTTCTTTTTTAAAACATACTGGCAAATACCTGGCTTTATCTTATCCCTGGCCCTAGAAAGCTAGGGCATATTCTCTCATTTCCACCACTTTATTCTGGTGAAGCATTGCTCCCTCAGTGATGTTACTCCCGCTTTTCATAAAGTTTGGTAAGCAGAATCAAATCTACAGACTTTGCTCAGCAGGGACCTGATCCATTGAACAATTTGGGGCAGCTTCTCTCTACCTATGGAAAATGCAATTATACTACAATGCTGGAGACTGTGTCATGGATTTATAGTGACACACCAAAGTTTCTGCCACAACATCTATTGGACTTTTGTCCTTGGTGGAAACAGCATTATGGTTTCAGAGTGCACATACTCTATACAGGTCCAATTAAAGACTCATGCTATTTTAAGTTACAGTGGATTTGTTCCAAATTTACTTTGCTAGATGTAAGGGGAGAATCAAGCCTTAAATGGGCACAATGGAAATGCTCCATTTTGGGGTACTGAGTCTTTACCTGTTGTTTGCCAGAGTTGATAGTTGTCCTGTTTCTCTTTGCTCATATTGAGCAAACTTTCATTTTTTTGTTTCCTTTGCCTCCTGATGAGCTGAGACATAATTGTTCTATATCTGTAAGCAGACAGAGGATCAGTTTGATACTGTTAATCTAGGCTTGGCTCCAAATATAAATTTGTCTTTAAAAACTCCCATATTGTGCCAAATAAGAATACTTAAGCATGTGTTTAACTGTAAGCATGTGCCTGCTCAGCACAGCACTAAGAAGCAGATTAGGAATAAGTTTTTTGTTGGACCTTAAATTTTTGGTGGAGAAACCTGTAACTATTCTGACAAGGACAGAATTTCTATTACAAATTTTGGTGCTTTGGGTGGAGAGGAGGGGAGAGGGAAGGTGGTAGGCACTGGACAGGAGAAGGAGCCAGGAGGGGAGGTGCCAAACAGCAGGAAGGGTTACATGGGGTTGGGCATATACCTCCTCACATTGGGACACTGCAGCTGCTGCTCAGTGCAGTGCAAATGGTGGTGGCAGCAGTGCCATGCGTTCTCCACGAGTTGCCATTGTGGCCCCCTTCTAAATTAGCATTTGGGGCTTGTCCCCTGCTTGCCCATCCCTAGTTATGTTATTGCCCAGAATAACCTATAGCCTGTGGTTAGGGACAACCAGGTTCAAATTCTTTCTTTGCCTGATTCAGACTAGGGACTTCCCACATCTCTCACAAATGCATTGAGAACTGGGTTACTAGTTATTCCTGGGGGTGTCTCTCTGTCCTTGCTCCCCCCCTGCCCCTTGCAAAAAAACCTCAGATTCATGCCAATGCAGATTTGGGGAAACCACAAACACTTTCCTGTGGTGGGAAGCCCCTTCCTATTCAGCTCTATTAGGAAGCTGTAATACCTAAGAATCTGAATGTAGCGGTGACTACAGGCTGTATCCCGTACGGTGCCAATTGCTCTGGCCTTCACCTGGCAAATCACTGAAGCACCAGTGTAATTTTACAACACATGAGTGATCCTGAGGAAATCAATGGGATTATTCGCATGGTTGGAGTAAATCATATGCCTAAATTCTTTGCTGGATTGGGGCCAGAGGAGTTAGCTTTTTACAGACCTGAGCCTGAAGCCTGATTCAAGACAAGAGAAAGGCACAATGGAAACAGAGGCCATGTCCACCCATGTGTGGACGTTTGTTTCCCCAGGGACAGCTTGCAGTGGTGCACCTTGTGCCACCACTTGTCCCCAGGGAACATCTGTGCCATGTGCCCTCTGGTGCATGGCAGCTTACTCTGGCAGTGGTAGGGGAGGCTGGGACCAGTACTGGGCTGGCCTCAGCAGCCTTACTGGTGGTCCTCCTGGGGTGCAGCTGTGGCAATCCTGCCGCACGGAGCCTGGCTGGCAGCCACAGTGCAGCTCCAGCCAGCTAGGCTCTGGTTTTGAGCAGTGCACACTGCCCCCGCTCTGCTGTTTTTTTCCTCGGGGATTTTTATGACCCCTGGGTATCCAGGGGTCAAAGAAAGCCCCTGTGCTGCTCCCTTGCAGTGCAGAGAACAACTGAATGAGCAGTCTGCAGCACCCCATACCACACGGCTGCACTCATCTGGCCGGAGAATAAACTTCTAAAAATGAACCAAAGTGAGAGAATTCCAGTCCTTTTAGATATCTGAGATGCTGCATGTCATACAAGCACAGAAACAGTTTTGCTTCCAGGACAAAGCATAAATTTTAAGATGACAGCATACCTATCAATTTTGTGATATATATTTTTTTGTCTTTCTAAACATATCATGCTTAGATTGATGGGGGGCCAAACAATGGTTTATTAACACTGGCGAGATAAGAGAGGAGTGAATGACAACTCTGAAAAATAATTTATTCTCTCCTACATTCCCTTGGAGGAGGATTTGTTTATTCTTGTTAAACACTTGGACTTCTCCCCACTATCCCTCTGCACTGTTCAAATGTAACCAAGGTTGCAAGAGAGAGTTATAGATATTCATAGCACAACATGTTTTAAAACACAGGTATTTACGTCAACCTATCTTTCTCTTGACTTTTAGACAACGCTTGGTATATTAACTTCTGAGAGATTCAGGATCTGTTTGCAGTGGGCAAGGATACAGGATGGGTGACTATTCCTAGTTTTTTAATTTCTTTGATAAAACAAACCTGAAAGTTCAATTTGATAAAACGAATGTTTAATGCATTCTCTTTCTAGCCACAAGGTGGCAAACAAGCTTTTAGTTTTTCATAAAAGCTGTTTTCAGAAAGCAAGAGTCCAAACATATATATTCTGCTTTATATACTTGTCTGTCTTCAGTAACCTATTGTCATTCAGTTTTAAAGAGTAGCGCTCAGCCCACATGACTGGAATGCTTTTTTGTCAGAGAATGAAAAATAAAATAAAGACACTTTAGACAAAGCATGTAATGGTATACTTTGTGGTCATTTTTGTTACATCAATTTAATGAGCATTCCCAAGCTAGACTGACACCAACCCAGAAGAAAAAGAGTTCTGCTCCTAAGTGAGCATGTCTACATGAAATGTCAACTAATTAACTGTGCAGTGAATGTCTCTGCATCTACAAAACTAATAAACTCTACAGCAAGGTAGTACTTATGTTTTACAAATACTACCCTGCTGCAGAATTTTTTTATGTGCAGCAGCACACGTGTAGATGCTGCCCTGGCCAGTAGGGCTGCGCGAAATGGCACCGCTCCGTTTCGCTTTGAGTTTTGACGGTTCGATGGAACAGCGTTCTGTTTCGAATTTCGTTTCGATTTGAAACAGCTGTTCCGTTCCGTCGAAACAGAAAGGCCGTTTCAATGCTGTTTTGATGTTTCGCTGGGTATGGGAAGTCAGTCCAGCTGGGCTGCCTCTCCATGCCCCGCGCTAGATCATGCCCCAGGGTGGCCTCCCCGCCCTGGGCACAATCTAGCATGGGGGATAGGGAGGCAGTCCAGCTGGACTGATTTCCCATCCCCAGCGCTATGGTCAAAATGTTTTGACTTTCGAAACGTTTTGACTAGCCTTGTTTTGTTTCGAGGCTATTTCAATGGCCTTTGCTTTGTTTCGATTTTGCTGTTTTGACCTCGAAATGAGTTGAAACGGTGTTGAACTGAAACGGCCATTGAAATTTCACACAGCCCTATTCGTCAGCCCTTCTGCAGGCTGACACCTGGGTCCCCTGCCAGTGGGCTGCTCTGACTGGATGTCACATGCTGTACATGAGTAAACTCTGGAGAAATAAGCTCTGGAGTATATTTGTGAGCATTAATCACACATATAGACATGGCCAGTAAGTCACAGTATACCTCCACAGCAGCCACTCCTGTGATTGCAGCTTGTGTAGACACATTCAGGCTTAGCAGTACATGAACCTGTAGATCTGAAGCAGCTCATAGATACATATGGGTTAACCACCCAGGTATTTGCCCAGCTTCTCAGGAGGGTTTTGAAGCCCAAGCTGAGCTCCATGCTGTTATTTCTACACTAGTAGTAGTACTCAACACACTAGTTTGACTGTGTCTAGATGAACTGAAACCACGGCAGCATAGATAGGTACACAAATGCACCAGTAAGCCTTAGCATTTTATAAAACCTCTGTTTTTTATCTATTAAAATGGAGGCAATGGACTCATTTGACACTCTGGGAACTGTGAGGCAGAATTAAATAGTGTTTGTAAAACTTTGAGGGTCACTGATGATAACACACAGTTAAGTACTTAGCTGAAACTGGGCCTACAGCTGTGGGCAGGGAAACGTTCTTTATTCCTATTAAATTCATGGGCAGGAATCTTTGACATTAAAATGACTAACTTCTGAGACCTGGTCTCCAGCCACTCTACATGCTCTATGCAGGAGATGTCTAACAGTTCACCTTCATTTGTTACATCCTATTTTAAATGGCCTTTCAAAATCTGTCTCTGCTTCCTGGCCTATGATTCATAAACTTCACTACAATTATAAATTATATTTTGTTTCCTGAATATTCATGTGTCCCTCTGGTTAACAACCAGTATTTTCTGCGCTACTGCCTGATCATACCTAAGGATAGTATCCTCATTCTGTTCTAAATCACAGGTTCAGAAGAGTTAGTGCAGATTTATATACTGGTGTTGCCAAGAGAAGAATTTGGCTTGATATTGGTTATTTGTATACTAGAGTAGCTGGTGAATCTATGTAAACTAGTTAGCTGTAAACAGCTTGAAATGTTTTTTTGTGAAGCGTATTGTACAAAAGCAAACTGTTCTACAAATTGTTTTATATTGTTTCAGGAATTCAACTTTCATTTTAAGAAAATTTTAATATTTTCCACATTGTCTTTATTATATACCCAAAATTAAAGTTCTACTATACTGAGGCTGCAGATTTATCTCAGTGCCAGAAGTTAGGGATAGATAATGAGTTTCAAAATATGAGCATGTTTCTGAGCTGTTGGCAATTGGGAAAAGAGTACCAAATGAGAAACAACACTGTGTTTGAACCTGGTACCATGCATCTGAACCTGTCTTTGATCAGTCAAACCCAGAAATTCGAAGGCAGATTATGTCCCACCAGCAGATTATCTCCCAAAAGCATATTATCTCCCACCAGCAGATGGCAGCGAGATGCGGCTATTTCACACCACTGTGTTCCTTTCCACCTCCAAGAAAAACCCACGTAGCAATTTCCTTTCCAGCTCCTATGAAACTAACATAAAAATTTGCTTTCCTTGACACCAAAGACAGTTTTCTGACATGACTCCAGACTGTTTAAGCAATATGCAAAAAAAAGTTTAAAAAAATTAAAAGGAGAAGTATGTGGGGTCTTTTTGAAGATTTTCTTGGGTCATGAAGGATGCTGTGGCCCTACATGATGAAGCAATTATGAAACATATGAAACAAAGGAGTTCTGTGAAAGGAAATAAGGAAGTTGTGTCAAAGGAGAATTAACCTTCTATTTTACAGGTTTTTTCAGAAAGAAAAATAAACTCTTAATTTGAGTTCAGGATTAGCTCTGCTTCAGACTTGACCTGTAATTAGCTGTCCTTTTGCTTCCAATTGATTTTGAAGGCGAACAGGATTCAAAGGATAAAAATGATTCCTAATTTTTTGGCCTGTTATGAACTGCCAACAGCGATAGAGGTGAAAAAACCTAGCTTGATCCATGAGATTGCAAGGAAGCATATTGGCCTTTCAGATTCCTGTATTTTTTCCCTTGCTTGGAAGCAGGGATTCAGTCACAGAAGCACTAGGGATAAAATTTAAGTAGGCACCTCAAAAATGTAAGAGCCTTGATTCAGATCCCCCACGGACCTAGACCTGCGTAACTCCACTGATCACACACGTTTGGACCAGTTGAGGTTCTGGCTTGATAAGCTTGAGCTGTGCTTGGCCATCTAGAGAGTCTTCTATTTATTCTGGCAGGTATTTACATTCTGGGCTCCCCTTAGTCTTTGTTCCATAAAGGAGCAGTCAGTAGCATAACTAGGAGGGGGCCACCAGGATAGCTTCCCATGTGCCAACTTGATGGCGGGGAGAAAAATACCAGCTGCTGCTTCAGCCACACAATTGCTCCAGCTGCACAGCAGCAGCGGGAAGTCACCACTGCTTTGGCCACTCAGCTGCTTTGTTACCCCTGTGGGAGCAGTGGGCACCTACTTAAAAGGTGCCCATGGCTAGATCCACTTGAGCATTAGGTGGAAATTCTGCCCTGTTTCAGGTTCCTAGGACCTCTCCCTTCCCACTCTGCCTCCAAAGCAGCCATGGAATATGAGGGAAGGTTTGGCTTTAAGAGTCAAAATCTATGACCCAGTGTAGCTGAGCAATTAGCAGTCTGGAAACATTCTGCAGGGCACAAGTACTGACTGCCTGAAGTTTTCACAGAATTTCAAATGTTGCAATGGCACCTAGGTCCAGACATTTAGCAATTTAAGCTCAAGGGACTGACAACACTTACATATTCTCATCCCATCCGCCTGCTTCTGTCAAATTTCTTTCCTTCCAGCTGTAGTAATTCCCTATGAAGACTGGATCTTCAAACACTGCAATGCCATAATTACAGAAAATTAGTTAGAAAACAACACGTGCCAAACACAATATTCCTCAAAGTAATATTTAATATCTGAGTGCTACAAACATATACATCCCTTACATTAGTTTCTAGCAAAATCCTGCACTATAAAAGGCAATGGGAGCTTGCTGTCTTCTTCAATGGAAGCAGGATCAGGGCCACATTAGAGCTGCATATTACTATTACTACTAATTAGAGTCCTGGCCTTGACTGATCTCAGCTACAAGGAATAACTCTGAAGTAACTCTCCTGATGTCCTTGGCATTGCCTCAGTGCATACAAGTATATCCGAGAGCATAACTGGAGCTTCTGCACTGTATGCATACTTTTAAAATACTATGAATAAAATGAGACAAGAATTGTCACTGAAGTGCATGACAAAAAGGAATACTGAAATTATATTATCTGACATACTTTTAATACATGAGTATAATCCTGGTCTTGTATACTCAAAGTGGCAGTCATTAAAGTCCAATTAAACAATTGCTTTATGTCTAGTTTTGTTAGTAATTTAGTTACAGTAGACTGCAGCGGTGGGATGTTACTTTATAACCAAGGCTATTATACTGTCTGCAGTTAATTTTTTTCTTAATCATACCTAGATTTTATTTATCATTTATGACTCCTTAATATATTTTCTGTCTACTACCAATCTTGATTTCCATGCCTTCCAACAAGAACCTACATAGATAGTAAATTTTTTGGGAAAAGAGCCATCTTTTTATGCCATGTTTCTACAATGTTTTGTACAATAGAACAATCAGTCCAGTGGGGCTCAACCTTTTGGCTCCATGGGCCAGATGAGTGGCAGAGGGCCAATCTGCAGGCTACATCAGACCCTGCATGCCAGAATTAGCTGCCACTGCTCCTCCATCACCAAATTTTTGGCCCTGTGGGGAGCCCCACGGACCGGATGACATGACTCCACAGGCCAGATCTAGCTCATGGGCTAGTGTTTGAGTAACTGAGTTTAGTCTATGACTGCAGCTTCTACACACTATTACAATACAAGAAGAATAAAGACTTGATCTTTAACCAGTTTAAATTGGTGTAGATGGACTGAAGTTACTGGAATTATGTCAATTTAAATCAACTGAGTTACTGCCCTAAATTCTGGACACCTGAGGTAGATGATGTGATTCTGAGTTCACTATCCACAGCAGCTCCACTGAAGGCAAAGTTCTTACTCTAGTGTAACAACAGCATGAGAGCAGGATCAAGCTCATTATGTTTAATTTTACTAAAGCAGGCATATCATCTTACATGGAGCTTTAAAATATTCTTTTGCTTTTGATGTGGCTATTCCAGACCATGTCCTGTGGTAATCTTCAAATGAAATGCTTGTAATCCTTCTGTAACTATAAATGCGGAACAAGACAAGGGTTTCTGGCAATTATACAATTTGTTAGTTAACACAGATTTTCATGAATAAACTTCCACAATAACAGCAGAATGAATTCAAAGGGATTTAAATGATTGCACAAAGGCTGCTTAAATGACAGGAGAAATAAGATCACAAGTGTGCAAGCAGTTCAAACAATTAGATATATTTTAAATACATTCTACCTATGTTAACTTGTTATCAATTTATGAGACAACTAAATTGAATTATTTTAATATTCTGTCCCAGATCCTCTTCCAAGCATTAGCATAGCTGAACCAGGTGTATCTATCCGAGACGTTTACTGCAGAGTTATCTAATTAGCTCTGCAGTAAACATCTTGGCATCTACACATGTGGTCCTATTAGTCCTCAGTAATTTAATAAACTCCACAGCAGCACATGTGACATGGCCGGCTGGGGCATGAGGGTGCTTTAGTGCAGGGGCAGCCTGCTGCGGTTGTGCTGCGGTTCCAGGCACACATGCAAACACCGCGCCCGAGAGCAATAAATTCTGGTGCAATATGCACCAGAGTTTATTGTCACATTGATATACATGTGTAGATGTGCCCACTGAGTGTCTGTAAAGCTGTTCTGCTTAAGGGAACAAAAAGTTAATAGGGGAGGAATATATTTCTAACTGAGAAAGTAGAGTTTTACCATTTTCCCCAACTTACCATTTTCCATGAATGTGTTTTTCAGTTTCAAAATTATTATTCAAACAATGCAAATGAAGCAAAGTGGTTCCTTAACTAGCACACTGTTTACTGTTCTTTGCTTTGCTGTCTATCTTATTCAGGCTGTAGGCCAAATTCTGTACTCTGTTTTACCCTGTGGCTCCTATTCAGGCTCCAGCTGGCCGACCCCAAGAGTGTCCTACCCCACTCAGTGACACTGAGGATTAAGCCTCAAAACAGAAATCCTGTCCCATTTGAAACTAATGGGAACTTTGCCACTGACTTCAATGGGAGTCAGAACCTACCCAAGATCTCCCCGCAAACTCAAGTACAAGAACAGCATAGAATATTAAGACCCAGATGCTTCAGAAGTGACCTGACACAAAGAAGTTCAAGAAGAATTTTGAAAGGGAAAAATGTATCTTTTTCATGAACAGTTTATCTCGGGCCCCCTCTACACGTGTAGGTAAAGGTGTGATAGGATCTAACGCGTGATCCACACAATTGCACCTCCTGCCATGCATGGCAGAAGTTGCAACTGTGGGATCGCACATTAGATCCAATCACACCATATTGTCAGTGCAGGGGGAGCTTGATCCAAGAGTTGGATCCTGGTTATGCGCGAGGTGCAGACAGGAATTTAGCCCTGCTACTTGTGGGGCTCTCAGTCCCGGCTACATGTGAGGTGCAGCCTGGATTAGGAGCCCTATCAGTTGGGGGGCCTCTTGGTCCTCACTGTGGGTGAGGAGCAGGACTGAGAGCCTCTTGTGGGCTGGGGGTTTCCCACATTCCCCTCCTACCTTGGGGATCACAGCAGCTGCAATCCTCAGGGCTCGGGGTTTTCACACTGGGCATGGTGCAGCCCTGCAGCTTGGAGCCCAGTCAACTGATGGGGCTCCAGGCCTCAGGGGAGACCTTGCTATATGTGCAAATGAAAGCTTGACAGCAACCAGCTCTAAAGTTAGTACACATTTTCAAGGTCTAACTTTATAGCTGGTTGGAGTTTTTTATCATGTGATAGCTACTTTGCACATGTAGCTGGTCTTCAGGTAACTGTGAAATTAACCAGGTGATTGTGCGATACCTGTAATGTATAGAGGGGCCTCAGAAACAGCTTGCCAGTCCCACCTCCATAGCTGCACACATGTTCAGCCAATAGTCACTCATACTAGGTTTCACCTGCAGAAGTCTCCCTTGAGGTATTTTGAGGAGACAGTAAGAGCTTCTAGCAGGGCAGTCTCTGAGCTTGCCTCCTTGTTGCATGATGCACTACTGCAGACACCCTGCTTTGGTTTCATATTGGGTGTTCAACAATCCACACAGCTTTCAGCATCTTTAGCTGCTGAGGTTACTTAGCTTTCCAGCGGAGTCAATTATCAACCCTTTAGTTCAATACCACCACAAAGGTATTGAAGTCCAAACAAACTCAAAACCATAAGACTCTTCCATGTCTCCCGTGCTCAGCTCTCTTCTTGTACAGGACTTGTCAACACCACATCTCTGCCTTTGCCAGGGGACACAGCCTCCTGAGCACACAGGTGCCAAACATAGAAAAGCAGCAGTGAGAATATTTGTGGCCTCTCTCTGCAATTGTTCATGAAACTTCAGCCTCCAGCATGCTCAAGAGGGGCGACAGGGAATGCCCTGTGAGCAGGAGTGGGTGGGCAGGGTACTCTTAGGAGTGTATGCTCCCAGAAATGGCAAGGATGTGGTGTAGATGTCATGCTTCCTGGAGCCCCTCATGGGTCTGACTCGCCACAGGCAGGTCCCTCAGGCCAAAGGCTGAGGCTTCAAAGAGAAAGCTCCTTGCAGCTCCACTCCTCCCCCTATTCTCCTTCAATGGAGCTCTTTGTGACCTTTTAAAAAAAATTTTTTTTTAATAAGCACTAGGCTCGCCTCAGGATATCACAGGACCTTTCAACAGGGGTGGGTCTGTCATGGTGCAGTTAGGCCCAGACCCCTATAATGGGCCAATTCACTGCAGGAAAGGGCCAAAAAATCAGGAAGTGAGCAGTTTCAACATTGTATTTAACAGTCAACATTTTGTTCAATGTTTGGCTTTTTCAACTGCATCCTTTGTTTGGCTGTTACCCTTTTAAGCAATGATGCACAACGTTGTTTAGTAGCTAAGCAAATGATCACTGGAACACTAGAGGCAGGATTTTACATGCACGGTAAGCTCGTTGGGGTAGGGTAGTTTGGTTCCCTAACACCAGCTGACTCAATCGGTTCTGAGCCAAGGTTTCACATCCTGGGCACTGATGAATGGTAAGTTATAGTTTTCAAAAGCCCTCAGTGTAGGCCCTGCCCTCCCTGAAGTTACATATGGGGCCAGGAGGTTACTACTGGTATCAGCAGGAGTAGCATTAGGCCAGTCCCGACTACTTGTGAAAATCCTGCCTGATGGTGTTCGCACTTGGAATATATAGAGTCAGATTTCAGATCTTGCAGAGAGCAGGGGAGACATTAACAACGACCTCCACCTTCGAGGTCCACAGAAGAAGCTCAGCAAGCTTGCATGATGCTTTTGTCTACCTGCTGCAACTGCATCCTGCTAATTTTTTCCTGCTTGACCCCCTCCTCATATTCTGCATCATTTCCTGCTTGTTATTCTTGCTTCAGTAAAATACTCATTCTTTTGGGATTGAGCTGGAAACAAAACAAGTGAGCTAACCTCATTCTAAATCATCCTATAAAAGACCAAACACAAGATTGTTATATGTATATATAAAACCTCTCTGATCCCCAGGCTCCCTTGGGTCTTTTGGGAGGTAACAATGAGGTGAGAGGAAGACCACTAGCTCCTGACAAAACACGGACCCTTCAGCAACCATCATGTTGATCTGCCTGATGTCCCTTCTCTCCTTCACCTTTGCAGTCCTGTCAAATCTCAAGACCTGCTTGCCAGAAGCTCTTTGCTTTTACTAATATTTAAAGCTGTATCCATCAAAGGAAATGATTCTTTTATGGATCTCCAGACTTGATTTCTTCTGCCCCATAGTCAAAGTTTTGCTGAAGTCAGTGGAATTCTTAGGGATGCAGAGGAGGCAGGACTGAATCCATAATATTTTGATGACGTTCTGATACATCCTTTTTTAATGGTTCTACTTCTGTATCTAGCAGAGTTCATGGCAAAATATGGGGGGAAGGAGGGGAGAAAAGCCTAGCCCCAGCAAAGTTTGCCTTTAATTTCAATAGGGCCAGAATTTTACCCTCAAATGACTGTGCTAGAAACAGGATGACAGGAGCCCACAAAACAAGGTCTATAGCAGCTAAGAACTCCCTCACTCCACTACGGGAATTCACAGCAGGCCAGAGACAGCCAGACTCCGCAGTGATGCAAAGGGGCGTTAGCTGGAAGAGAATCTGACCCCATCTGTTAGTCTGTAACTTGGCTGCAGAAATATTTCAGTAGTGATTCCAGGCACAGCGATTGCGCTATAGAAATAAAGACATCATAAAAATGATCTAGTATATTCTAGAAAGAATGCACTGGTTTTCTTATACTAGTCATTAACATAATAAATGACCTTAAAGTATGTATGGCCTGGAATACATGTCATTGATTAGTTCAAATGAAAATATCACTTGGCTCAACAATCACAAATTTTCTGGCTATACTCCTGTAGGCAAAGAACCTGTTTCATTTAGTAATAAGAGTTATTGGCAAGAGCTGTTAAGGAAGGTGCTTGCCAAATGTTTCCATAGGAAATGAAATAATTGGGAATATCCACTAACAGGAAAAAAAAGAAAGAAAATAATTGGTCTCTTTAGGACACAGCTCCTAATATTACCTGGAGCTGATGCTACTCCTTCTGAAATAGTGGCACTCCTACCACTTTCCTCACTGTAATCTTTTACCTGATACAGCCTAGAGAAGATGCTTCTGATGATGGATAAAACTGCAGGGAAGAAATAGAATCATTCTCAGCTCTAAGAAGTTCTGCAAAGGAGAAAATCATGTATTGTAAAGCTTTATTAGCCAAATCCTTATCTGTTATAAATCAGTGAATTTCTACTAACTTTTGTGGCCCAATGCTGAGTTACATCAGACAAGAATCCAGTCTTCTGTTTCCCCCAGAGCAATACTCATGCATTTAACAACCTGCTATATATGCTTTTTGGATAGAGATGTTGGGTTTAATTTTTCCTTGGGACAAGCACTGTTTCCTGTCCCTGGCATTAGTTAAAGCAGCAAAGAGTGTACCTTCATGCTACACTGTCTTCCAGGAATGTGGAAGAAGCTGGCACAGAAGATGCTTGAGATAGCTTTAAGAGACCAGGGAGTTTCCCCTAATTTGGGAATATTCTTTTCATTATCATCAGCATTGGATGTGGTACTTGAATGACACAAATACTTGGAGTGGGCTGGAAAGTCTGGCTTATTAAGAGCAAAACCAGTGATGGCTACTACCCTTTCATGTCCTCCACATACCCTGTGCGCAGTAGGAACTGTAAAACATACTAAGATTAGTTTTTCTGCTATTTTTAACCTCTAGACTAGTAGAGGGCAACCCCTTTGTCAGGCATGCCACAAATTAATCCCACACCCTCCCCAAGTGCCATTCTGATCCTCTTCCCCTGCCCTATATGCTACTCTGCTTGCTGCTCCCTATTCTGGGTACCCCGCCTGATTGTCTGTTGTATTTTCTGCTTCCTGCCTTATCTACCTCTGTGATGCCTGTCTACCTTCCTGATCTGCTGCGTGCCATGCAAAAAAGCTGCCAGTGCCACTTGTGGCACGCATGCTGCAGATTGGCCACCCCGCTAAAGGCAGTCATTTTTGCAGGCTGATCACTGTTTAGTTTAATCATGGAGCTCTAAACGTTATTCTCATCAAGCTTTACATGACAAACAGTTCATATGATGTAGGCAAAGACAGCCGAACTTCCATTTGTCCAGCTGCCAGCTGTAACTTGCACCCTTTTACTAGCTGCTTGGCCTGCAACAGCACTGAATTTACTTGGCAAGGAAATGTCACCAGCTCTCATTTAACAAGATGCCATTTACATGACTGTTGCCTTCAGCTCCAATGTTGGCCAGTGTGTTCACTCTCAAAACACAGTTGCGTGTTTGTTGAAATTAAGTTGCCAAACACACTAACCAACATTGATTATCGAGAGTACAATAAACTGCTCAAGGAGTTTTTTTGTTTAAATTCTATAAAATTCCCAGTATTGGCTAAAGCCATAGTGTAATTAAGGAGGGGAAGGGCAGGCATCAGCCCCAAGTGCTGGTTTAGGAGGGATGTAAAAATAGCTCTCACTGCTAGCCTGGGGCCACCACCAGCAGTGGAAGCCTGGTCACTGCTGCTGTCCTGTGTGCCATGGCCACCCAGCTATGCCTATGGGCTAAAGAATGTCTTTATGAATAGTAAGAAAGCAAGAGAGTGCCTTACCTTCTAGGCGTTGGCTGGTTCTAACACACTGGATAACCATTTGTCTATACAATGCTAAGTTATTTTTCAGCATTTCTGCTGCTTCTGTATTCACAGCATTTTCCAGTACTGGATTAGAAAGCATCACCTGTATATAGACAGACACACACAATGTAAAGCACCTTTCCTACTCAGTGTACAAGCCATCCAAATGATTGGTTTCCTTGCTTTAAGATGGGGAATAATGATACTGGTTTGCTAAATTCAAAGCAAAGGATGGCTGTTTTGTGACTTCAGCAAGATGAGGGCTAGGCTCTTAATTCTGATCAAAATCTATGCTCACTTTTTCCTATTTCCCCTCAGACTGTTTATAATTCCGAAGAGACAGCCACAAATGATATGCGACTGCCATTTGTTTTACTTATAATCAATATGAGGATGTCCGTGTCTCTCTGCACATGTCTAAGGGACATTTTCATTTATGAAAGGTGGACCAAATAATTTTTAAAGTGATGGGAATATAATAAAAAGGGTGTAGGACTTATTACAGGGAGAAATGTACATCATTTTTTTTCTTGTGGGGGAAAAATGTAAAATTGAAACATAAAAGCCTATATGATAAAGCTGAATTACTTGCTAACCTCAAGGCCCATTCCAGTACTCCTGATAAAGACTCTGCCCATGAGATCATTCAGGAACTTGAAAGTAAAGTGATCAGCATTTTAAAAGTATTTTTTAAAAGTACAGAGAATCAGGCAGGGCACACACTTCTCTAGTAGCGCTTACCCAGATAAAACAGCATAAATCCAAAAGATCACAGAAACTAACCACTCTGACCTATCTAAAAGTTAGAATTGGCAACAGCTTCAATCATGGTAATTCATTAATCAGAGTTAATGTGCTGCCAGATGTGACACCGGTATCAAATAAGGATGATCTACAGATTGCATTTCCTCTGAAGTCACCCAGCAGCTTGCATTTTTAATTTTAAAAAGGTGAATAATCTACAGTTGCAGTCTGCAAGTCTGAAATTAGTCCTGTAATAAAATAGATTCCTATTTGATGAATGAGATTTCCAAAAAGTTATTAACAAAATGATTTCCTTACCTGGATACTAAGTAAAATGCCACACATTGTTAATTTCCGATTCCACTTCTTAGGGTCGTCTAGGAAGTCTATACAAGGCTTCCCAGAATGTTGATCCACTGTATTAAGAAAAGGATTGTGCAACTTTAAAAAGTAGCAACATTTCAGAGACTCCACAACACAGCAGCTGTAGGCTAGAGGAACTAGTTATAGTTACTGAATTAATTTGGTTTATTAGCGTGCGGGCCGGGAGTGGTCCGAGACCCTCGGGGGCGCGTGGCGGGCTGTGGCCAGCAGCCCTGGCACGCGGGTCGGGGAATGCAGGCCGGCGGACTAGAATTAGGCACGGACGCATAGCGGTTGATTAAAGATTATTTTACTTACACCGTAGATGGTCGCGGTGCAGGCAGGAAAACTTGCTTGAGTTGCAGTTACAGACAGGAAAGAAGAAAAGCGGACAAGAGTTCCTTCCACGCGAACTCTAGCCCAATCCGGTTGAAGGCTCTAAAAACGTGAGCCCGTCGTGTCAACCGAAGAAAACAACTCGAAGCAGAGAGCTCTGGATACACTCACACGAAGTTTGCTAGGCTCCGTGGAACTTGCGCACAGGGAAGGGGTTCATCGAGGGATCATTCGGCGACGGGGAGAGGCCAGAGGTTGATCAGACCCCCTATAGCCTTCTCAAGGTACACGCTGGGTCTGATAGGCTCCACAGCGCTTAGAGATCTTCACGAGACGTGAAGTCCTCCTCCTCCTGATAGTTGTGGAGTCCTCCCTTGCGGGGTTCTCCTCGGAGTTCTCCAACTTGGGCGGAAACCACTCAAGCCTCTTATATGGCTAGCAAGCCAATCGCTAGCCGCCACGTGGGAATAATTTAGAACTGGCCAATAGTGGGACACAAATTTGCATACGAATGGCAGGAACTCCTTTGCACCGTCCATTTCTCTTTGCAACTGAGAAATGCACCCTGCAAAGAAAGCTCCTCGTGGCAGGAAATAATTTAGGAGTGCCGAAGCGCACACAAACAAAATCACACCCTTGGGTTGTGACAATTAGCAGCTTTCAATGACTGAAAACCATTATGGTGCACATAGACCAACTATGTAATTGTGTGTTCCCCTCACTGTCACTCATACATTTTCCCACCTCTTCTCCAACTGTTTACAGGTCAACATAAGACCATGTCTTAAATTAGTTAATAAGATCTTCACATCTGAGGTTCTCCTTCTATTTTTGTATGGTGCCTATATGATAGAGCAGGGATTCTCAACTGCTGGGATGCTATGAGATCCTTTTCAGAGTGCCGTGGGCTGCTGCATCATATTAACATTATTAGATGTGGAAATATCTATGCATGATTCACAAGATAAACCCAGAGATTTCAAATAGGACTCCATAGTGTCAAAAAAATTCTGGCCTGTTGTGGTCTGAGTTCCTTGCACCAAAAGCATTGCTTCATTAGTTTGCTATAGCCAAAAAACCAGGAAAGCTTAGAGCTGGCATTTTCTGAGGGGGTGGTCTGAGTCTAATGACAGAGAAGGTTCTTTGGGTAAATGTGATATCTTTTATCAGACCAACTAAATAGTTGGAAAAATGTTTTTTTTTGCAAGCTTTCATGCAGAAACACCCTTCTTCAGGCATAGGGAGAGTCTGCTGGTATTATGTGGTTTTCATGGTAGACTAGAAGCCAATATGCAAAATGAAGGTCTGTGAAAATGCAAATGAGTGGCAGTGAGGATCAGAGGGAATAGGGGTGAGATTGGTAGGTTCTGGGGGCAAAAGGGGAATGTTGATCTGGTGAGGGAATGTAGCTGGTAAGAAGAAGACAAGTTACCTGGGGTTATCAGATGTCAGGCAGGTTATAATGTGCTATAAATCCAATGTCTATATTTAGTCCATGATTTTTTGTATTCAGTAGATTTATAAAGTGAAGTTTATAGGCTCGTCTACAAAAGGAGTTTTATAAATTTCCTTTGAGGATTTGAACTGAGAGATTGGAGTTAGAGTAGTTTTCTTGTGAGAAATGTACCCCCATAGGTAATTGGGTATTCTTGTCTTTGATAGATTTTGTGTGTGCATTCATTCTGGTACTCAGTTGTTTGGTTTCTTCTACATATTTCCCATCAGGTCATTTAGTGTACTGGATAAGATATATTACATTTCTGGAGATGCAGGTGTAAGATCCAGGAATAATGTTGGTTCTGTTGTGGGGTGTAGTTATTGTAGGAGTATTGGAGATGTGTGGGCAGGTTTTACATTTCTTATCCTGACATGGTCTGGATCATTTGGTGTGCTTTTGGCCATAGGAATTTTGTTTCTGGTGATGAGGTTAGTGAGGTTTGGTGCTTGTTTAAAGGCTAGGATGGGTGGTTCTGGAAAGATCTCCATAAGAATTGGGTCTTTTTCTAGTATGGGTTGCAATTGTTTGAGGATTTTCTGTATAGGTTCCAGGGAAGGATGGTATGTCATAGGGCTCTGCGAAATTTTGCCTGGCGTTTTGTTTGAAGCTTTTTCAATGCGTTTTGAGCTCAAAACAGTGACATCAAAATGAAACAAAAGCCTTTGAAACAGCTTCAAAATGAAACAAGGGAACTCAAAATCTTTTGAAAGTTTCAAAATGTTTCGAGTTTCAAAGCCAGTACCAGTCTGGACCACAGTGCAGGCTAGCATCCCCAGTAATTTTTATCCTACTTCTCAAGCAGCTTTCACAGTACCAAGCTCTGGGCAGCTATGGTTAGACTGTTGCTAGCAATCAAGCTAACTAGGAAACAATTATCTCACACATGTCTTCAGAGCACTGCATGCTGGACTCTGCAGCTAAATAATGACCTTTTAGAATAACTCTTGTGTATGTTTTCTTAACCTGAGTTTCTTTTAAAGGGCAAAGGTCAAAACAAGTTCCATTTTATGCCATTGTAACAACGTTCCTTGAACCTTCAGCACTCCTGCATGACTACCACCTGCACACTACTACTACCTGCACACTACTACAACTACAGCAGTAACTAATTAGCTAGCAGCAGGAGATACTCTTATCCTACACAGGGAAGGACAGGTTGATGGTGCACTGAGCTACATCATGGGGAGCAATGCCCTTTTCCCCTACTCTGAGATGTGAGGAGCTCCTGGCCTATGCGATAACTATGGGTGTTGAAAAGGGCATCCAGAGGAATGTGCAATCCTACATATAATCAGTTTGGGCACCCAGAGATCTAAAATGAAGATTTATTCTCTTCCTCTGCTCCCTCCAACCAAGACAATCAGAGTATCCCTAGACAAATGGCTCCAATGGTATTTCAGCATGGCTTAAGAATCCCGCACTGAGAGACTAGACTGAGATTTTGGGCAGAATGCAAGCTTCCTATTGGAACAAAAGATATTGTAGGGAAGTAAAAAGCCAAGTTGAATACCATATCTACTTACATACCACGTGGACCTTTCCCCCCAAAATCAGCCCCTCTCCCCAGTGTTGGGGTCAGGTCTTATGTGGGAAAGCTGAGTTTTTTGCCCAGAATAGAAGCACCCTGCTTTTATTCCTGTTCCACTGTGTGGCAGTAGTGGCATTATTGTTCAGGCAACTGAAGGAATAAATTGACTTATTGACTCTTTACTCTTCACTGCCCAGATATCAATGATCATCTCTCCTTTTTGGTGGTCTTAACAGCAGCTAACCTTTCTTCAGGCAATATAGCTACTTCTGGCCTCTCTTGCCCTATTTCATAGCCCTAGAGACTCTTTAGTTCTTTACAGAATCATGGAAACTGGTCTTCAGCAGCAGCTAGAGTTTCAGCTTTTAGTTAAACAGGAAAGGGAAAATAAGTCAGACGAAGATTAAGCTCTGTCCCTGTTCAATGCACCCATAACTCTGGAAAAATCTTTTTTCTTCTTTCTGCCTTCCTAAAAACAAGGTGCATGTCTTATATGCAGATGTGTGGTATGCAAGAAAATACAGTATTTGAAACATGTCACACACTCAGACAGCACCTCCTGTGACCTTTACCATTGGGGTGAAACGGAATGGTGTTGAACGAAACACTTGGAGGGACACTGTTGTACCTTTCAGAATACTTTAAGGTGAGCTGGAGAACAGCCCCTGTTGGAGAGAAAGAGAACGAGAACGAGAAAGAGAGGGAGGGAGAGAGAGAAAGAGAGAGATCAGCATTAGCACACTGTATTGTATTTAACAAGAACACCTGCCTGGTATTTGTCCAGGTCAAATATATGCTATTATGGATTTTCTTTTGATTTTAAAATCTTTTTTTCCCCTTGTATTGATGTGAACAAGCTCTGGGAAGCAAAAGTTGAAGGACAATGTTTCTCACTAGAATATAGAAAAAGGTCATGCTTATTTAAATTACCTCTCCCTACACATCTGTTTACAGCCCTGATGGATTATCATCAAATGACTTTAGCATGCATGAAAAGGGACAAGCTACACTGTATAGGTCCAAGCACAGCAGTACTGGATTGAAGCACAAGCATGATAAATCCCGCACCTAGTGCCCCAGCTCTAGGAGTCATTCAACTATATCAGCCCCTCAGCTTTCATGAAAAAGGAAAAAAGTGTCTAGACCTCAGAGATGTGAAAAAACCTTGAAAACGGAAAATGTGCCACGTGTGTAACCAGCACATGCTTTCTGTGGATAGACTAGGAATCCTTGCTCCTAGTCCTGGAGAGCTGCTAGTCTTTATGTCCCAAGAACTGAAAAGTCCAATCTCCCCACACAGAGGCCACTGCTGCCCTGCCTCCAGCATGGGCTTTCTGTGGGCTGCCATTCTCTCTTCTAAATGAGTGCCCCATTTGCCTACCCCTAGCTATGTTACTTTCATGCCCTTTCTCCTTTGATGTCTCAAGTTATGGGATGGGGCCGCCATTTAATGTACAGAATATGAGCTAGACCCTATGCCATGGAGTGCTTATGACTGTCTCAAACTAGTCCAGAGGCCCTTGAACTTCTCCTCTTTGGCTATATCAATATATCTGCAAACTTGTAGGGAATAAACTTAGGGGGAAGAGAGTAGGTTAGGCTCCCTGTGCACTCTGTTTTGTACAGCGTTGAGCACACTAACAGCATGGCACACGGGAGTTCAGTGAATGCGGAAGGAGCTTAGCACCATGCAAGGCTGAGCCCTCACCTTGAAGGAAACTATTTGAAATCCCAGAACTGGAAGTTTCTTGGTTGTTTTGATGTAGATAATCTGTCTAAAAGAACTGGATCAAGATCACTAAACTACTGACAAAGGATAACACTACATGGTTTAACCCTTACATGTGAGCCAGAGCCAGCCACCTACTGACAAAGTGCTTATTATCATGTTTCCTCAATCACAGAGGACTCCTGGCTGGGCATTTCAAAGGATACTAAGAGAGATGGAATCCAGTGGGAATCAGGTATGTCACTCTCTAAGTCTCCTATGAAAATCCCAGCCTTTTTATTTTAATGTTCATAGTTATGATGCACACTGGGTATGTCTACATGAGCCGCTTACTGCGCAGTAGCCTAATAACACTGCCCAGCAGTGTGCTGGTCCAAAGGCGTGCCAATGCACCACTCAGAGGGTAGTGGTAGATGGGTCTTTTTTGACCTGGAGGGAAGTGGGCAGTGGAGTCCCCCAGGGCTCGGTCCTTGGGCCCACACTGTTTAATTTCTTTATTAGTGACTTGGATGACGGGGTAAAAAGCAGCCTGTATAAATTTGCTGATGATACTAAGATTTGGGGTGAGGTGGGCACGCTAGTAGGGAAGGACAGATTACAGCAGGACCTGGACAGGTTACAGGGGTGGGTTAATGAAAATAGCATGGGTTTCAATACTGACAAGTGCAAGGTGCTGCACTTGGGCAGTGGGAACCAGCAGCACACTTATAAGCTGGGAAATTCCCTTCTCGAGAGCACAGTGAGAGAAAGAGATCTTGGAGTCATTACTGACTCCAAGATGAACAAGGGCTGACAATGCGAGGTCACGGTCAGTAGGGCTAACCGTACCTTGTCGTGCATCCACAGATGCATCTCAAGCAGGGCCAAGGAGGTGATCCTCCCCCTCTATGCGACACTGGTCAGGCCACAGTTGGAGTACTGTGTCCAGTTCTGGGCCCCGCACTTCAGGAGGGATGTGGACAGCATGGAGAGGGTCCAGAGAAGGGCCACCCGCATGATCCGGGGACAGCAGGGCAGACTCTACGAAGAGAGGCTACGGGACCTGAACCTGCTCCGCCTTCACAAGAGAAGGTTGAGGGGGGACCTGGTGGCCGTCTCTCAACTTCACAGGGGGGGCGGGGGACCAGCAGGGTTTGGGAGAGACTCTGTTCCCCCTAGCGCTCCCCGGGATAACAAGGAATAATGGCCACAAATTGTTAGAGAGTAGGTTTAGACTAGACATCCAAAGGCACTATTTTACAGTCAGGGCGGCTAGGATCTGGAACCAGCTTCCAAGGGAAGTGGTGATGGCTCCTATCCTGGGGGTCTTTAAGAGGAGGCTTGATGTCTACCTGACGGGGGTCATTTGAGCCCGGTTTTCTCTCCTGCCCAGGGCAGGGGGTCGGACTTGATGATCTACAAGGTCCCTTCCGACCCTACTTCTATGAATCTATGAATAAACTACTGCATGTTATTAGGCTGCTGTGCAGTAAGCATCACAAAAAAACTATGTGCTGGCCCTACTGTGCAGTATCTGTAGTTAATGTGCATTTAGTTAGTCCTTCATTAAATAAGTACTAAACTAAATGCACTGTAACTACTGCACATTCATGAATGTGTAGACATGCCCGCTGTGTAGGACAGAAATGATTACAAAGGGTTAATGAGAGTACATGCCTGTGTACCAAGGCAGCTGCCCCAAAATCCAATGGGTAGCTTAGAAAACAAAGCCAATCTAGTACCACTTGCATTCTTAAAATGGTTTACAACATCAATTTTTAAATACCTAGCAGTACAGAATGATAGAAATATTGTAAAACCACACACACACACACACACACACACACACACACACACACACACACCACATGGCACTGAAACATTTGAGTCTTCAACAGTATGACAGACCTTCCCAGAGGGAGTCCTTGAGCCCTTGGACTTCAGCTAACCATTCTAGCAGGTTATCATTAATAGGAGCAGCAAAGATGCCCTAAAAGGTCCAAAAAGAAGGTAAATCTGGAGCTTGATTTTTTTTCTTCAATACTCAGTTATTTTTATTAAAAGTAAAAGCTGGAGAAATTAGTCGACCAATATTTCTAAAGCACTTTGAGGTCTTTGAACGCATAAAACCATTGCATAAAGCCATGAAGAACTGCAGTGGAATTTAACAACAAAAAAGTGTGCATATTTAATGTGCTCACTGCCAAGTTAATCTCCTTCCTCATATGACCGCATAATCAGTGTGAAGCTTACCAGAAGTCAGTGGGATTATTGCATAAATGTGAAGACTGCAATATGGATTTAATTTGGACCCTTATCATACTTCCTGGAGTTTACAATGAAATTCCAACCCCGCCCCCCCAAACCCAAGATTCACTATTATAAAATCATTTATAATTACATTTCAAAGAACTATGTCTTCCCAAGTTAATGATTTGGGAAAGTAACTGCAAAATAATCAAAGATAGTAAGGTTTTTTTTAAAAGAAAAAAACATTAAACCAAGGCTGTGGTTTTGTTTCATTCCTTGGAAAACTGGATGGGGAAAGGTATACTTATACAAAATAAGGGAAGTCCAGGCCTTGGGCAAAAAATAAGGACAAGAGCACTAATGTGCTAGGTATATACCAGGCGTAGGTAATGGAAACAAAGAGGAGGTGCTACTTACAAAAACGTTGGCTTCTTTCCATTCCTGGTGTTCCCTTTCCAGCAACACGTACGCTCGGGAATGCATAGTGATAACAGACCTTGCACAGGACTCTCTCTTGCAATATGCTTGTTGCAGAGGTAGTTGCCTTGCAAAAAGAACGACGGCCTTTCTTCCTGCTTCAGTTCCTGCTTCACAGGAGTGGTGGGGCCTCCACAGAGCCGGATGCTTTCTAAAACTACAAAAGGAAAAATTAACACCACCACTTGCCACAGTCCTAAACTGACACGTTAAAGCGAAGTTTAAAGGGTCTGTAAATAACCCCTTCCCCTGGACTTCAGACTTCAGCTGGACACCAGCCGAAATCCTAGGAATGAGTTCAGACTAAAACTACCGACCCGTCCTCAGGGCAATGCGCTCAGCTCTGGGGTGTGGTGACTAGCTTGAGGCTGAATCAGCCCAGCTAAGGAAGGCATTTCTGATCCACTGCTCGGCAGCAAGAGTGCCTGTGGGAGGACAAGGAGGAGAGCAGGGACCGCCCGGACTGGGCTGCGGAGCAGAGACACGAAGCCGGAGCTGGGCTCTGTATACGGCGTAACCCAGCAACAGAAGCATCGCTTTCCTGGCTGGTGCTGCCACAGCTTTGTTCCCCTCTCAGCCAATCAGAAGTGGCCTTAAGTGTACTAATCTTCTCCTTCCCAATCAGACGTGGCCTTTCAAGCACGATGGTTCCCACAGCTACAACTGTTGAGACTCGAGGCAAAACAGTGGCCTAGAAAGATGGAGTTGTGGCTCTGTGGACTGTCATTTTTCTGCGGAGGAAGCTGGGGATGGGGGGGATTAGCCTTGCCCCAAGTTTTTAGAAGCGTCATAATGAGTTTTAAGGAGCGGGGATTTCTACAGTGTAAAAGTTAAACTCAACTTTGTAATCCCAATCAAAGTTTGCACCATTAAGTAAAACCCAATCTAGCTGTAAACTCTCTCCCCTCTCCGTTCATCTCTCTTCCCCGCAACTGTCCTGAAAGGGACCCCTCAAGCCCTGGCCTCATCTATTTGCCCTATCCCCAAGTAACTCAGTCTCAAATTTCTGGAGCAATATGAATGAGGGAAAGTTTAAAAAATGCTCTGGGGTGATGTTTAAGTCTCTCTAGCACACAAGAAAACCCTTCATTGCCAGATGGCGGGAGACTTTTAAATGCTGCCTGTGTAATGAATTGCACTGATAAAATGCTTTTCCTTTACAGATCTCAAGGGTGGATATTGGTATCCCCAGAGGGAGGAACTGAAACGGAAAGAGGGGAAAGCAACTCACCCAGGGCCATATAAAGCATCAGGCAGAAGGCCTACCTTCTAACTCCTCAAGTCCTGTGCTTTTTCATCTAACAATACTGCCTCCTTGTCTGTGGCAGCATGACAGTATGTAATAAAGCAGACATTGGACTACAGAGAACACTTGCTGTGACACTTGGGCAGAGTCAGTTCCAACTAAATTTAATGTATCCTCATATTTGTTCATTAAAACAAACTATTGGGTCCCATAAAAGTAGGAGGGGAAGGGGGAAGGAACATACAAACATCCTTTGTTAGTAATAAATGGAAAATGACCATAATATTTTGATATAGCCTGCTGATGACTCAGTTCTGTAACTCTTGCTCAAGTGAGGAATCTTATTGACTGAAATAAGATGACTCTCAGATACAAGGTATACAAGGTAGGGCCCCAAACTTTACAAATTTTCCGCTTTTTAACTTGACAAATTTTAACAGTGCTCTAAAAAATATAACTCCCCCAAATAATGTGGGTGCTTTATCACCATATTAGCAAGATCAAATCTGGATGTTTCTGCAAGGCCATTGATAGAATCTGGCAAAGCAGGCCGTTGGCACTGCAAGTTTATGCCTCCCAGGCCAAGTTACGTCTATAAGTTGCCACCTTTCTCTGCCTTCTGCTAGTTGGTATTTCCAAAGTAACACAGAAGTTTTATAAGAGGGAAGTGTAGGGGAAGAGGGGGCAGCAACTCACTGAGAGCTTGAAAGTAGTTATGGGACTGGGGGGGCCTCTAGTTCACTGCTTCATTTCTGTGCTTGCTACTTGTGAGCAGGAGCAGGTGGGTGGGTCATGCTTGGTGCCCATCCCTCCAAATGTTGGGGATACGATGTAGACAGACCTTAAGAAAAGCTAGGGGAGAGAGAGCATCTGGCTTAAGTGCAACTGGAAAAGGGGCTTAGAACTACCAGCAACAAATCTGCTTCCTGCTGTTTGGTTTCTCCTCTGCGCAGAGAAACAGGGCTGTGTACACTGCAAATAAATACAGTTACATCTAAGTATCTGACTCCACCATTGACTTCTCTTAATGGAAACAACTTGCAGAGGCTTGACTGTTGGCTTAACACTTTGGTCAAAAAGGGGCATCACCATCTTGCATTTCCTCAGCAATTAGACGCTCTTTTGAAATAGATTGTTGGAAAGTATATGGTTAGGCACTGGCAGGGAGGAGTTTAAGAGGAAACATCACAGTGTATATAGACGTATATGCAGAAGAAATTTCTGAGAACAGAGGGCTTTTCAATTTAGCAGACAAAGGTGTAACAGGTTCCATCGGCTGGAAACTGAAGCTGGAAAACTCCAGACTAGAAATGAGACGTGCACTTTTAAAGGTGAGGTGGAGCCATTGGAGCCACTTGTCTAAGGATGAGGTAGATTGTCTGTAACTTGAATCAAATGTGAATGCTGCACCAGAAGTTAGGTTCTTATTCAACCAGATTTTATGGGCTTGAGGCATGAAAATTGTGTTGAAATGTTATTGCCAGTGCCAGAAATCCTGTTAGGCGGTCAGAAAGGATGATCATGCTAGCCCCCAGCTGGCCTTTAAAACTGGATGTCCAGGTATATGAAAACAGAAGTTTCCTCATGAATGGGTTTCCCCTCAAGAAAGGCATCCCCATTCTCCGCAGCATGAAGGCAGCCTGGCTCATGACTTGACCATTGACTAACTCATTCCACAGCTTTAAGGCCAAGGATCCCTGCAGGACTCTTTCTACATGGACACCGAAATCAGAGAGACAGCAGGGAGGCAGTCCTTCCTTCCCCATCGTAGCCCCAACTCTGCTCAAATAAGCTCATTGACCTTCGCAGTAGAACTAATGGGGAGTGGGAACCACATTTTTTGTCGCTATTGTCCTTTTTCAAAATGTTATTATGCATACTTAGACCTTTACAAACAACATTTGTGTATGCATGCATACATATATACACATCGATACACACCACACCACATGCATACATACTTACACCTCCCACATGCAAACACGTCGAGGCATACTCTGCAAGCACCATTTGTATTTGCTAAACTCGTTTCCTTCTTATGGATCTAACAGATGTTTCAGTTTTATTTAGATTCCTTGAATGACCCCAAAAAGAACCCAGCGCTTTCTTCACACGCTCTACAGATTAAAGCACAGCAAAGTGTTATCCTGATGATGCAACTATGGGAACATTCATTACCTAACAGCTTGAATTCCCCCTAGTCCGGAGCAGTTAAATCTCAGTCCTCCAGAGCAGGGGCTGGAATGCTAAACCAGCACCAGCTTGCTGCTAACAGTATGTTAGACCTATTCTAAAGTGTATTGCACTGTTAAATAGACTATAAAGGGCACCACAGATGCTTTTAATAATTCCAGTTTGAAATCAACTTTTCCCTCCTTTGTCTTAAAGACCTTTTGATGTACAGTCATGAGTGCCTCTCTCTGTTTTTAATAATTTTATATTACCTCAGCAATATAACTGTCCTGAAACATGCTGAACTTTAATCTTTAAAGATCAAACAGGAAGAAATATGATGGGCTATATAGTGAGTGATTTGGAGGCGATAGTCTCTCCTTCTTTCGCAACACCCCCCCCCCAAAAAAAAAAAAAAAACACACACGAGGAAAAAAAACACTCACC